CAATTGGAGATGGTAATTAAATTCTCTACCTTGGAACTCACATGCTTGTTCTTCCAAACTTGTGATGAGAGTGGGGTTCTACTGTTAAAAGAAGAGTAGGAGTTGAGGACAATTAGAAATATGCTAACATAGTTTCAGTGAATAATTGCATAAAAGTTAATATTTTCTAGATTAAAAGGAAGTCTTTTGTTCATGAAAAATTCTAGTCATTACACTCAATTTTAGCTATTAGTATAAATTTAATTTTTAAATGAACTAATTTATTAGTTTATTTTACTTTTATCTATGAAACACCATCTTATATCTTTTCTCATTTAAATACATTATAGATTTTACTGTCAATTTAAAGTTACCATTAGCCTTTTATTACTTTATATTTACTTTCAGGCATTCTAAAGCATGCATTTGTTTTCCAATTTTCTCATCTGAAATTAATTTGAGTGATAAAGAAATATTTGAGAGATAAATAAACATTTAACTTCCAAAACATCCTCAATGGTGGTGTGGAATTTGTTGTTGTTGTTGTTGTCATCAGGTGCCTTCAAATCAAGTACGACTCATAGCAACCAAATGAATAATATTCGTGAACTTTGTCCTATCCAGTTCCATCGTCATCAACTCTGACATAGTCTTGGCACCAGCAGCCAGGAAATTAAAAGGCGCATTGCTATGGGAAAGTCTGCTGTTAGGGACCTCTCCAAAGTGCTGAAGAGCAGTGGTGTCTCTCTGGAAACTAAGGTGTGTCTGATACAGGCCATGGTCTTCGCAATCACCTGTTATGCATCAGAGAGTTGGACAATGACCAAGGAGGATAGAAGGAGTATTGATGCCTTTGAGCTGTGGTGCTGGAGAAGAGTATTGAGAATACCATGGACTGCTAGGAAAACAAATAGATTTGTCCTGGAGAGGGTTAGACGCTCCTTGGAGGCAAGGATTCTGAGGCTCCGTCTAACGTACTTTGGACATGTAGTGAGGAGAGACCGGTCCTTAGAGAGGGACATCATGCTTGGGAGGGTGGAGGGACGGCACAGGAGAGGAAGGTCCTCTATGAGGTGGATTGATTCAGTGACTGGGATAATTGGGATGGGAGTGTCAGAGACAGTGTGATTGGCACAGGACAGAGCGGAGTTTAGGGCTGTTGTACATAGGGTCACTATGAGTCGCAGGCGACTCGACGGCACATAACAACAACAACAACAACATTGCTATAATCACTGTGTCTATCCTACTTATTGAGGTCCTTCCTCTCTTTTGCTGAGCTTCCACTTTTCAAGCATTATATCCCCTTCCAAGGAATAGCTTCTTCTATTCACATATGGGAAATATGTGATTAAAAAGTTCCATCATCTTTGTCTTCAGGGCACACATCTGACTGCACTTTCCCAAGACATATCTGTTCATTCTTTTGGTAGTATTCTTCTCCAACACCACAACCCTAAGGTGTCAATTTTTCTTCTGTCATCCTTATTCATTGTCCAGCTTTCAGATGCATTGCAAGTGATTGAAAAGACCCTGGTCTGAATCAGGCACACTTGAGTCTTCAGACTGACATTATTGCTCCTCAGTATTTTGGGGAGATCTCTGACAACAGACTTGAATTTGGGTCAGTGTAAATATAAAGGAACTCTAGTGGCATAATTTTTAGGGTGTTAACCCAAAGGACCCACCTCTGGCATTTCAAATCCACCAATGGCTCCACAATAAAGATAAGCATTTGTCTTCCTTGTGATTTCCAGCCCTAAGAACTGGAGAATAAGCTAAGAGTTGGTTCTTGACAGAATGAGTTTTGAATAAATATAAGATCATACTTGATGGATTATAACTGATCTGGAGACTCCAGGCTCACAGTAAATCAGGCTTAGTCTCTTTCTTGTGTAACTATGAGCAATTAATAACAAAGATACAGTCTTTCACAGTTACTTTTGCTTATCAGATGCTTAATAAAGAATTATTACCTGAATCATTTAATTGGGCAACTTAGAACTTATTAGCAATGTCAGGTCCTCTGAACCAAAGGTAGACTTAAATCAGTGTTAGATACCTTTTCCAGGCAAAAATATATTGCATTTGTTAAAAAATGGGAATAATAACCTATAAACCACAATCCCATAACAATAAACAGAAGGAATTTTATGCATTGCAATAAAGTTAGTATACATTGTAATAAAAGTTTCCTCTTTCCTTCAGTTGGTATAAAACTTAATCAAATAGTGTGTTATGTGTGGGAGCTCTGATGGTCTAATGGGTAAGGTGTTGCCCTACCAATCTAAAGCCAGGTGATTCAAATCCACGAGCTGCTCTGTGGGAGAAAGTTAGGCAGTCTATTCTCATGAGATTCATAGTCACCAAAACCCTGCTGAGGGTCAGCTGTTAGTCAGTTCTGACTCTACAGCACATAACAAGATGCGGTATAATAATGTCTTAATACATGGTAGTCACAGTTCATTAATACTTAAGTTCCGTAGGTCACAGGACAAAGAAGAAATAAGTATTTCATCAATATATTGAAGAAAAAAAATCTTAGCTTTTTGGCACTCACTTTTGGAGTACAAAGAAATATGATCTAGAAATACTGTTTTTACAAGCTTAGCATATAGAAAAATTCAGTAGTTATATATCACCTAAAATTTTACTTATGAAATACCTCAGGGAATTTAGCATGGTTTTACAGAGCCCTAAAGCTAGGTGGATCCAGTTACCTGATTTATATAAAATTATTCCTATGATTATTTGGTGATGCTATACTACTTTTCATCTTTCAGAAAATAACTCTCATCTTAATTTTTCCCAGCCAGCTTCTTATTTCTGGTGAAGGGTTTTTTTTGGCATTAACCTCATGTATTCTTAATGGTCCTGCTCTTTTTTTACATCTTAAATTTTATTCAAACTTCATGCAATTAATTTTAGTTTTCTCTAAACTATAAGGCATATAAAGAACATCACAATGAATCTCTGTTAGTTTCTTAATTTTGATAAAATTTACTTGTTCTAAATTCTTTTTCTATACCTAGAATTTTCTGATGTTTTCCCCAAGGGTTTAGGATATTGGGTGCAAATTTAAAAAGTTCAGCAGGCCTATTAAACGCTAATAAACTCTATAAATAGGAAAGTTGTCAAATACGTTTTCATTTTTACTACTTGAAAATGAAGAAGTTAATTTTATCTTAAATTAGTCTCTTCTATCAATTTCCAATAACATAAAGCTAAAGCTATCTTTAAGATAGTATATATTATGCAACAGAGACAGAATTTTTATAATTTGAAATTAAGATGGCATTTCTAAAATAAAATAAAATGAAAGCTAATGTTTTGGTCAATTTCCCCATTAAAAATGTAAGTATGCTGTATAACTTTAATTCATTTACCCAGAGTGAGAACTCTCCATACCACTTAACTCAGTTAAGACAAATGGTAAGTTTTATTAAGTTTGAGTAGCAATAATGCTGGAGTTTGTTACATTATTTTGGTAAAAGTTAACATTACTATATGCACTGTGACATTTCCTAAATAAAAGAAATCAATATAACTTTGCCTTATTTAATTTTCTGAAAAAGTAGTTAATTGGGTAATATCTTGGTAAAAATTTTGTTGAGGACAAGGTTGCAATCTTATCATAAAGGAAAAGTTAATCAGGGTGGATTTAAGGCTAGTTCAATTAATGGTTACAGAAACAAAGTTCCTTCTGTCTAAACTGTTTGATGACCTCGGGTAGACAAACTATAAAAGGTATACATTTTGTCATGTGCAGTTGTTTAAGCCTATAGTTTTGTGGTTTCTCTTTGAATAGAATGTTTATAGGAATAAATATTAGCCATATACTTTATCTTTTTCAAATAGCACAATGAAATATAATTTAAATAATGAGAATTAAAGAAACATGAAAGGATTTTCCCCAATAGTTTGGAGGATGCCTTTGAAAAGGTAAAGGAGGGATTAATTATGACCATGTTGAGTGGTATTAAACTCCAGTTGCTTTTGATTTTTCTCGTCAGCATTTATTTCCTAAGATTTACTAATGAAATTGTTAATTTTCCTCTTAAATTTTACTTTTAGCAGAAGGCTGTTAGATTGGCTCCCAAAGCAAACAGCAAGCAGCCTCCTGCTTGGCAGAAGAGGGCAGAGGGTCTAATGTTGGCTGGGGCTGGGTCCTGGCGGTTGGGGAGCCAGCGAGGGGCACGAGCAGAGAGACTGCAGTGACACTGCCCTCCCGGGGCTGGGAGAAGCATCTCACTGGTGACGGGTCTGAAAGCACGTGGCTACGTCATGGAAAGCCAGTCTTTTCAATGCAAACTTCAACTCCTCCTCCTCCTCCCTCTAATGCCTGTAACTCACATTCGAGGCTGGGCGAGAAATCCGGAGGGGAGATTTTCCTCATGCTCACCGTTGTTGGAAACTGGGAGAGTGAGAGGAAGAAGGAAGGCGATCTGTGGCGCTCTCCGCTTACTACGAGCCTCACAAGGGGAGGGGGCACCTAGATTTGCATCTTTTCTTCGCGGTGATTAAGAACTGCAGGCTCAATCTGATCCCACCGATCACTGGCGATTGCTTATAAAAATAATCGACACTTGGAGAAGGGAGGCTCTGTCTTCGGCTGTCAGACTCAATCTCGGAGGTGGTATTGGTGTGTGAGTGTGTGTGGTGGCTTTTTCTCCCCCTTTTTTCCTTTCTTTTTTCTTTCTTTCTTCCTTTCTTTTTTCTTTTCTTCCCTCCTCCTTTTTTTTTTCTTTTTCCTTCTCTCCTAGGAGCTACACAATGGCAGTCTTCTCTCAGTAAGATGAATCCTGCTTTGGCTTCTGCAGATCCACCCATGTCATAGCAATCAAGTAAAAGGCTATGGTTTTCTCTTTGGGGATCTTTTGTGCATTACTGTTCTCCCTGATTAGTTTTGGCCTCAGTTGGGATTTCTTTGCCTTTGGCTTCATGCTGAAAAAGGATTTTTTTTCCAACCCTTCAGTAATAATCCAGTGGTGATCAAGGGGGATAAATCATTCACCCTGGCCGAAAAAAAACAATCACTGAGAAGTCTCAAAGAAATATACCACGTGAGGGGAAAAAACTGGGAGAAGATCCGGAATATTATCGTTTTTCCTATGGTAAAACCGGTGCCCCTCTTCAGGAGAACTGATTTCAAATTATTATTATGCAACCACAAGGATCTCTTCTTTCTCAGGGTGTCTAAGCTGCTGGATTGCTTTTCGCCCAAATCAATGTGGTTTCTTTGGAACATTTTCAGCAAAGGAACGCATATGCTGCAGTGTCTTTGTGGCAAGAGTCTTAAGAAAAACAAGAACCCAACTGGTAAGCAAAACATGTATCATGTTCTGTTTTTCCTCATACTAACCTGTCTGTTGCTCATTGAGCTAGATCTGCAGTTCTGCTATGCAGAAAGGCAGGGCAAACAGAAAAAGAACCAGGACAGTGTTGCATGTAGAGGTGTTGCATGAATAAACAAGTAACAGCTGGATCGGCGTCTGTGAACCTAAAAACCATTATCAGCATCTCTTGGCTGTGACACAATAATCCATCGCTAGGAGGGAGGAGGAAACTTTTTAAAAAATGTATGTGCTTGCCTATTTTTGGTGGAATATTCAAGGGCTATGGCTTTAGGTTTCTGCCCGAGACAGCTGGAGCTTTGGTAGTTGCCAGGAAGAAGAACCCGAGTTTCCCTGACTTCTGCTGCAGGTTCGGAGACACAGCTGGGTGTTGAGAACCTGCCCCAGACTTTCTGACTAGCTTGCACAATATTCGCCGCCCCGATCACCTTTACTAAAGTAAAAGCGGCCCCCTCCCTCGTGTCCCCGCTCCTCCGTCAGCCCCCGCCTCCCTCCCCCGTCTAGCTCTGTGTGCCCAAGTATTAACTCATTCCCCCTGTCTGCCTCTGACACATAATGCTGTTGGGAATACTTGAGCCGGGTTTATGCCTGGAGGGAAACCCAGACCCAAGAGACAAGCCCAGCCCCTCCAATGTAAAATTTAAATTCTTTTAAAAAAGCAGTATCAAACCCCTGGGTCCCACGGGTGGGAAGAGCCGGGCTCGTGAGTTCCTGCTGTAGGGTGTGGGTGATCATGCGCCCCGATTCCGAAGGACTCCAACGGGAAACTTGCAGTACATTACATAAGAAATGCAAATGCAGGTGATTCGGGGAGTCAGATCCCAGGAGTTCACTTTCCTGTCTCTCAGTCTGAAGCATTTGGGGGCGGCCGCATAGCGGTGGGCAAGCAACCTGGGGGTGGGAAGCCTGGAGGACTGCGTGGTGGCGGCGGCGCCCGCGAGGAGGCTAGGCGCATCCTTTCCCGGAACGGGCACACACTGGCAGCGGGTGGTGTGTGGCGCCCCCGGGCCGCGTCCGGGGCTGGGAGGGATTCAGGGCCGGTGTTTGTGTTTGGGGCTGTACTGGGGGAGGGGACGGTAGAGCAGCCGTCCTGCAGTGGCGGCCGGAGCTCTGGACGCCGGCACTGCGGTGTAGTAGATCATCGCTCTCGGCTGCCTCCCTGACACCCGGAGTCCAGCTGGGGCCGCGCTGGCACCCAGAGCCCCAGCGGCTGGGCAGCAAGTGGCTGCTGCCTCCCATCCTCCGAATCTCGCAAATGCAGCGCAGTTCGGGGGTGCGCTCGGCGGGGGCTGCCGCCTGCGGGTGCAGCGCGCGCGGGAGGAGGTGTGGGTGGGCGGGGATGGAGGTGGGGGTGTGGAGGCTCAGCACCCTTTGCGGCCACCGCTCCTGCAGCAGAAGCGAAGCTGGGAGTTGTTAGAGCATCCGAAAGGGCAGAGGCTAGCGGGCTGGGCTGGAGGACGCCTGGCCGAGGCCTTGGCAATTGGCTGGAGTTGCGCTAGCCCGGGAGGCTTCTGGAAGTAGCCTCTGGCTGACGGCGGGCTTAGTGCTGCAGTGGGCTCTTTGCTTCGGTTCCAAAATTCTCCTGGGTTCTCGTTCTCCTCGCCACCTTCTTCTTAACCTTTCTCCTCCCTTCTCCCTCCTCCTCAGCATCTGCCCTTTTGTCCTCCCCTCTCTTAACTTTTAGGATTTAGCAACTCTGAAATGTTACTGCCATCCTAAGAATCACCTAAGGAGAAAGCAATGTTATCACCTTAGCCATCACCTGTCTAATGTAGCTGTGAGGTGTGCCCGACACCTAGCATCAAACCTAACACTTGGTAATGCATTGGTCATGGAAACCTAGTGGGCATCTCTAACACTATCCTACAACTTCATGTGAAAATACTTTCTGTAACATTTCCTAAGTAGGACAAGCAAGGATTGCAGTTGGATGGGAGCGATTACTTCTTCAGAGGCTAGAAATACTGTTTTTTCGAAGTCGTCTGGAGTCTCTCCATGAAGAGATCTAGTTCATCCTGAAAAAGAAGTGCTGTAAAAATACACATTATTGGCGGTTTTTCTAGGGACTTCGAAGTCAGCCCTTCTGTAGGCCTGGAGAGTGGGAAATGGTTCAGCTCAGACTGCTAAGTGTCTTTGCTGGTCTTTATATTATCTCCATGGTTTTGCTGAAAATACTATTTTCTTCCTATATGTGATTCAAGATCTTTTCCTTAAACTTCCTCCATCTCACTCACTCACTTTCTTCTTTCTGGGGGAAAAAAAGTTTGTTTTTTTTCCTTCGAAGGCATTTTGGAAGATCTCAAGCAAATACACATTCTTTTAAAAGCAGGCAATATATTTTGCAACTGAAGAATGTGAAAGTACTTGGATGTGAATTGATAAGTTAATTCAAAGTGTGTCTAACAACCTAACCAGCTATTTTTAATAAGATAGTTAAGTGTTAGATTTTCAGAGATTAGACTTTCATCCTTGGAGTAGATATTTTTTAAAGGAGACAGTAATATGTCATCCTATTTATCTCACCTTATGAAAGGTTTTTGCCTTTCAGGCTTGAATCAGATGCATGCATGGCCATCCCCTTTCAATATTGTACTTGGTGAAATCCATTCATTCTCCTGCTACTAAAATACAGATGGAAAGAATTTTCAGATGTTTGATTTGAAGAAAGCAGTGCAACTAAGATGTTAATTTAGTAATTAAAATAAAATAAAGTCTAAATTCTTCCTAACTGTTAAAACTCAAAGCAACAGATTGACTACTATCTACTATGCTATCATAACTGTAAAAAGAAGACAACTGGTATCAAATTAAGAAGCTTGGTAGCCTATTGCCAAGTACAGTACTATAATCTTGAATTTGATATAGAACAATTCTCATTATTTTAGAGATAAATTGTTGTTTTTTTCCTGATCTACCAAAGTTATAAAGTAATTTACTGGTTATTCCCAATTCTGTAAATTATCAAGCATGCATAGTGGGGAGTTAAACCCTTAACAAAGCATATGGCTATATAATCAGGTTGGTATTAAGATACTCAGATAATAGAGCCATGATGTTAAGGGCAAAATTATTCATCCACCCAGAAGTTATTAATTAGCTCCAAACCATTTAAACAAAAAGTGTTAATTAGATAGTGTTATCTTTTTTTATTTGTTTGTTTACTTATATAGTTTAGCTGGACTGGACCTTGAAGAATTTATTTGCACAATATGCCTCTTTTTAAAATACATTACGATAGTTTAATAATAACTGATAAAGTAAATTTACAATCTTCATAAAAGCTCATAGTAGCTCATGGTTAAAATGATCACCAGAGAATACACAAATATCTACACTTTCAATGTCCTACTTTCTCCTACTTTTCTAGCAGAGCAATAGCTATGCATTTGGAATAAATGTCACCTGCTTCAAATTTCACTGTATGAGTTATACAAGGTGACTATATTTTCAGGGAATCATTAAATAGGGAATACATTTAAGTCAAGGCATTTATTTTGCCTAAAGGAAGGCTTAATATGTTTCTAACCAGTAATGTCAATTTTAACTGATCACTGTGTATATACAGGTTGGACTGGGAAAGAATCTAGGTCACTGCACTTTGAGTGAAGGGTGCTAAGAATATAAACATGGTTGAAAACAGTTTACAAAAACGATAAATACTAAGGTCATATCATTCGAATCTCTTCACTATGTCATGTAAACCAAGCAAAATAAGTTACACATAAACTTCTACTCAATCGTACATCATACTTTTAAACTCTTATGACCTGATAGGATTTTGAAAAGCATAGGTTTTAGTATAAGCTGTAGTCTAATTTTATTGAAGTATGGTGTCCGAGGCAATGAGGGCATGAAGCAGATGCCCTAACATAGTTTTGAAGAACTTGTTTAGAAAGTTTTGCAAATTCATTGATCTGTTTCCTTTTTTGAACTCAGTTTCCCTCTTAGCCAGACCACTCTTGGAGACAGAACAAATGGAGCCTATGATCACTTTCTGTTTCCTACTTATTTTGGTGCTTTTCAGCCAAGCTTTTACTAACTGGTTTTATGTGCCAAAACCAGCAGGTATGCCACTGTTACCTATTTAAATTTTTCTTTTTTTAGCTACTTCTATCAGGGCTGCTATGCATTTTTTTCAAGTGAGGAAATAGAGAAAGAGGAAAGAAAAAGAGTAAGAATTTTTTGTACCTTCTTATTCTCAGTCTGCCGACTCATCCTGGTTTCCTGTAGAGCTGTTTGAGCCACGAATGGGGCATAACCCTTGCATTTCTAAACACTGAGGATCTACCAAAAAAGGACATGAAATTCAGACTCATGAGTGAGGCTCTAGACAGGTGTAAGGTTCTCCTTTTTCTAACATGTTTGGCTTTAGAGTGGCATTCAGTGTAATAAGAGTTGCCCTTGGACTCCATTCAGGAAGCTTTAGTTATTGAAGCTGCAAAATGACTTTTAACAGAGTAGTGCTATGTCATAATTTACAAGGTCCCATTTTAGATAGGCTTCCAAGAACTTATTTGTTGGATTTTTCTTTTTCAAAACTTACATTCAAGTTAACAAGTTAACAAATATTCAAAGATCCTATGTATGATAATGTATTATAATCGAAATGTTTTAACTATGATGGCAGCTTTCATTATATCCAAATTCAGCTCATTCTCATCTTAGACAACATCATTCACAGAAAATACACTTTTAAATGATGTATTACTTTTAGAAAGTATTAATGCTAATTCTATACTACACTGTTTTTGAGTCTATTGAGTCCGAACTGACTCATTGCTGATCCTTCAGTGGTTTTCAGAGACAGTGAAGCACATGCAAATTGACTGTCCATTTTCCTCCTATCTAGTAGCTGGTGTATTTGAACCAAGTACCTCTGGATTGGCAGTACAGCTCCTTACTATTAGGCCACAGATGAATCATTCTTTTAATATTGTTTGAACCAAGAGCCCCATGTTTTAGAAA